CGGGCAACGGCAGATTCTGAAGGGCGGCGGTCGACTGCGAGCTCTCTCGGCGGGGGCGGCGTGCGGTTGCGCGCCTCGAGCGGCGTGTCGGCGGCGAGGGTGGCGAGGACGCCATGCACCTGCCGGGCGTGCGGAGACGTGTGGTCGTCGACCCAAGGACATGGACATGGACGTCACGGGCACGTGGCATGTGCATGTGCAGATGCATGTGCACGTGCATGCGCATGTGCATGTGCATGTGCATGTGCATGCGCATGTGCATGTGCATGTGCATGCGCATGGACAGTGCATGTGGCATGTGACATGTGCATGTGCATGTGCATGTGCAGATGCATGTGCATGTGCAGATGCATGTGCATGTGCAGATGCATGTGCATGTGCAGATGCATGTGCATGTGCATGCGCATGGACAGTGCATGTGGCATGTGGCATGTGACATGTGCATTGTGCATGTGCATGCGGTGCAGTGTGTTGTGCATGTGAGATGTCGGGCGGTGAGGTGCGAGCCGCCAGGCTGTCAGTGACTATTAGGCGACGGGCAGGGCCTTTCTCGGCCTGCTCCACTCGCTGGGGTGTGTGCGCGGCCCCCTCACCGCCCTGGGCAGTCCCTCCGCCGCACGCCTGCATCGCGATGTGTGCCATGCCCGCCAACTAGGCTGCCGGGTGGCGCTGCTCCGTGTGCGCCGTGCGTCACAATGCGTGCATGTGTCGTTGCTGGCTGTGTGTGTGTGTGTGTGTGTGTGTGTTGGGGCTGAGGGGCGGTGCTTGAAGAGCGAGTTGAGGCAGGGCCCGTCGTTCACTCCTCAAAGGAAGGGCCTCCGGCTGGCGACCGCCCCCCCCCCCCCCCCCAGCCCGCCTGCATCGCGAGCGCGCGCGTCGGAAGCAGCACGAGCGCGCGGAGCCGGCGCACGGCGGACTTGCCGAGCAGGTGCTGCAGCAGCGGGAGGGAGTACGCGAGCGTCTTTCCCGACCCGGTCGGCGCGCAGCAGCAAATGTCGCCGGCGGAGGAGGAGGCGGCCGAGGCGAGCACCATTGGCACGACTGCGGCTTGGACCGGGAAGCAGCGGCGCACGCCCATGCGGCCGAGTGCCGCCTCGAGCCGGCGGTCGAGCGCCAGTGCGCTGATCGGAGGCGTGTGGTCTCCGATGATGCGCGCCGCGGCTGTGCGCATCCAGAGTGGCAGCCCGGCCTCATCAGTCACGCCCTGAGCCGAGGACGCCGCACTCGGCTCGCGTGCGCTCAGTCGCGCAGCCGTCTCCGCGACAGGCACGCTGTCTGCTGCCGGCTCCACGATGGCCTCGCTCGCGGCACCGTCCGCGTCGGCGTGAGAGCTGTCGCTGTCACCGCTGTCGTCGCGCAGCCGTATAGCCGCATGCTTGGCGGAGGGAAGGCCCTCGAAGAGGTCATCGGTCGGGTCGAACGCCTCTCGCTTGCGACGCATTTTGCAACGCTCCGGCTGCGTGGCCGGCGAACCGAGCGAGGCACATGGACTGGGCGCCACACTGGAAAAAGAATTTGCTCTTACGCGCTCCTTGGCTTGCATGACGCGCGTCGACATCGCCTACTCGCCTACTCCGCCTCACCATTATCGTTCTCCACCCTCGGGTCTAAGCGGCCCCTTCTTGCTCTCTTTCCCATCCTGCCGTCGAGCCTAGTGTAAAAAAGAAAGAAAGACAACAGTCGTGGCTAGTGTCGTGCGAGGTTATCGTAAAATTCTTTCATCGCGCCCGCCATTGGCGCCGAGCGCAGCAGCGCCGCCCGCTGAGAATGCCGTGGTTCAAACCTAATGACCGCGATTTTGTCGCAAACCTGCAGCGGGCGCAGTCGGCGACTGCGCTCCTCGCAAAGGAGGAGCGCGTGTTGCGCCAGCTCCGGGTGCTCACGCCGCGGCTCCTCTCGGCGCGGCAGCACGATCTGCTGCAACTCGAGGCGGCGCACGCGGCGCTGACGGTCGACCTGCTGCGCGCAAGGGCTAGAGCCCTCGAGGCGCGCTCGGCTGCCGCCTCTGCCCTCTCGAGTCGCTTCGCCGATCTGGTGGTTGCGTGGGAGGCGTCCTTCAGAGAGATCGAGGCGGCGCGCCAGTCGGCGGCCGCGCTGAGCGAGCGGCGGCACCGCGCGTCGCGGCTGCGCGATCTGCTTCGCCGCGCAAGGACCGTCTTCGACGACGGGCGAGGCCTGCGACTGCACGCGCCGCAAGCAGAGCAGCAGCGCGCGTTTGAAGCGTCTGTCTGCGCGCCCTCCGCCCACGAGGGGCAGCTGCTTCGCCGCTGGCTGCTCGGCGCGGCGCCGGTCAGCGAGAGAGCCGTCGCGCCGCTCTTCCAGCCGCGCTGCTCCGACCCTGCGGCGCACCTCTCGCACACAACCTTCCAGAGCCCAGGGGAGAGGAGGCTCCGGTCACGCCTCGCCCGCGCCGCACAATCCCCGCTCCCGGTCGCTGCCACGCCACCACCGCCCGCCGCTTCGTCCGCCACAGCACCATTGGTCACCGCACCGGCCGCCGCCTCACCGCTCACCCCACCGGCCGCCCCACCGGCCGCTGCTCCGGCCGCCGCTCCGGCCGCCGCTCCGGCCGCCACAATCACCGTCGCTCCACCCGCCGAGCCAGCCTTCGCCGCGCCGGCGCCGGAGGCCGCACCGCTCGCACGCGCTGCCGCCACGGCCGCCGCTGCGCCCTCGCCGGCCTCCTCGCCGGCCGCCGCCTCGCCCGCCGAGGTGGAGCGCTTCGTCGCGTACTTTGCGCGGCTCGTCGCTTCGTCGTACGCGCTCGAGGCTGCGGCGGCGGCGCTCGCCGACGGCAGCCCCGCGGGGGCGCTCCACCCGGGCGCGGTGATGCCGGCGCTCGAGCTCTTCGCCTCGCGGCTCGTGTTTGGCATCCTCCACCCGCGGCTGTTTGCGCCCGTGCGCGCCGCCCACTGGCGCAGCGACGCGGCGCTGCGCGCGCAGCAGCGCCGGCTTCGCGCGCTGCCCGCCGGCGTGCTCGCGGCCGAGCTGAGCGAGGGGTGCGCCCCCCTCTTGCCCGCCGAGTCGGACGCCGAGTTTGCTCTCGCTGTCGGCGCGCTCTCCGACTTTTCCTTCGCCCTCGCGCCTGCGGACGCGCTGCTCTGCGTCCACCGCGCCGCCGGCCTCCTGACGCGGTTCGCGGCGCGGCTGCTGTGACCATCTGCTCTGCAGCCCCCTCTTCACACGTCTCGCCGTGCACAGGCTCGCGGGTCGGCTCGCCGCGCCGGCCGAGGCGAAGGGCCGCGCCGGGGGGGTCTTTGCGGCAGAGGCGACTGCTGCGGCGGACGCTGCGGCAGAGGCAGAGGCGAGCGCTGCGGCCAACGGGGCAGTGGCGGCCGGCGCCACTGCCACCGAGCTTGCCGCCGAGGTGCCCGTCGGCGCCGATGCGCTGCAGCCTCTCATGATGCTCGCCGCGGTCCACGCGCAGCTCCCCACGGTGTGCTACGTCTCGAGAGATCAGCCGGGAGAGAGCCGAGATGCCAGCAGCCTCCCCACGGTGGGTTTTGCTCGCGCTTGCTCCGCGCTCGCTCGCTCGCGCTGCGTGTGGGTGTATGAGAGCGATTCATTTGTTGCCCCTTCGTACCTGGTAGGCCGCTTCGAGCATCGACTTCGCCTCTCGCTACTGCTCGGCCGACGCCGCCGCGTCAGAGCTCGGCTGGAGCCTCGCCGCCCTCGAGGCGGCCACGCGTGCCATCCTCGCCGAGGAGGTGGCCCCTCGTTTGGCCGGCGCGGTGGCAGAGGCGGCAGGCGGCGGCACGGAGGCCGAGCTTGGCGCGGAGGCCAAGTTGGCTGCAGAGGAGCGCGCGCTCGAGGCTGGCGAGCAGGCGCCTGTGTGGAGACGCGCGGCTTTCGACGGCGCCAGCGCGACCCCGGACGAGGGGCCGAGCGAGACGGAGAGCGAGTGCGATGAGGAGAGCGAGGCGGACGCGGCGGCGGAGGACGACGAGGAAGAGGCTTTGGAGGCCTTGGCGTACTGTGATCTTGATGGTTTGCCGTTGTGGTGACTGTGATCTGTGTACCTGGGACTGGGTTCGAGAGAGTAAAAATGAATAAAACGGGGATGGGCGTACATGCAGGAGAGATGGAAGCAGGTCCCCGCCCGGTCTTCTTTGTGCAGCGTTCTTGGAGCACTTGTAGTGCGATCGTCGATCAATCTTTGTTGGTACCGCGCAAAAATCGTCTACCACCAAGTTTAGACTAACACCAGTGTAACCAGTTGCGGAACTTGCGGGGTCCGAAGAGCTCGATTCGAAAACAAATTCATGCACATGTCCGTTGCACACGGTGCTGTACTCTACGCCCACAAGACACACGAAAAAACTCGGATCTCAGGGCGCGATTTTTCAGGGAGGCCTCGCACCGAGCTCACAACTCAAACATGCAAACTCTCTCATGGGTCACGGCTCACGCGAACCAGTTCCAGACGCATATGCATGAATCGAGACCGACAGAGACAATCTGCTTGCCGTCGGGAGAGAAGGATGCCTGGGTCACCTCATTTGAGTGGGCGATGCCGACCGACCGCGGCTCTGCCGCGTTGGCCAGCTCCCATACTTGGATCTCTCCCGAGGCGGTCGAGAGAAGCAGGTGGTTCCCCGAGGGGTCGAGCGCGATGTGGTTCAGCTTCTTCTCCTGCGGGCGAGGCGGGCAACATGGACCAGCGGGCTTTGCATTGTGAGTGGTCAGACCCGAGGGCGTGCGAACCTTGCCCTGGAGCTCGTCGCGCTCCGTCCAAGTGACGAGCATCGCGATGGGCGCGTCCTGCCGCACGTCGCCGTCCCACACCTTGACGCAGCCCGCGGTGTCGGCCGTGATGATCTCCTGCTCACCCTGCGTCGACTGCACGAGGCCGCAGAAGCCGCCCTCCTGCTGCGTAAAGTGCTGCGAGCGGCGTGCCTGCTTCAGGTCAAAGGTGACGATCGTCTTGTCGGCGCCGCACGAATGGATAAGATGTGGCTTGTTCCGGTCGATTGCGATGCCCGTTACGCGGTAGCGCTCGCGGTGCTCGCCAAACTCGGCGAGGACGCGCCTACGGGACATGCTGGGGACGTGTCACGGACATGAGCCGATCTCGTCCTCGCCACAGACTCAGCGATGACGCGCCGTGTCTCCGAGTCCCACAGCCGGAGAGAAGCGTCGGCGCCGCCGGTGGCGATGAAGCGCGGCGAGAGGGCGATCGAATAGACGCCGCCGTTGTGAGTCAGCGGCACGAACCAGAGTAGCTTACCGTCCTCCGAGTGGCACCGCATGCAGCCATCGGACCTGGAGGGCGGCGTGAGGTGCCGCTTGGCTTGAGGTGGCGGGGGCGGGTCACGCAAAGCACGAGAACGAGGAGGGAGGGCGAGCGTGGGAACAAGCCGCCGTGACTCACCAGCCCGAGACGAGGTCACTTCCGCTGTAGACGATGCAAGTCGGGTGCGCGGCCTTGTTGTCTGAGGGCGCGATGTGCGTCCGCACCGTGTAGTGTGACAGCTCCCACAGGCGGAGCACGCCGTTCTCCGCGCCCGAGGCAAAGGTCTCCGACGAGTCGCCGAAAGCGAGGCACCGGATTGGCTGAGTGTGGCTCGACATCCGTGGCCCGCCAAGATGCCCATGCCTCGGCCGCAGCTCCACCGCGTCCACGATGTAGACGTCGCCGAGCGACGTGCCCGCGAGCAGCTCGGCGCCGTCGGCCGAGGCCGAGAGCCCGCGGATCTCGCCAGACAAGGCGACCTCTCCCTCCATTGTCCACTGCTGGTCGAGGCCGGCCACCACCCTGAGTTTGCCATCGCCGCAGCCGCAATACACGAGCTCCTTCCCCCCCGCAGAGCTAGTTGCGAGCTGAAGCAGCCCGCCGCCGGCCGAGACTGGCACCGCTGCACGGAAGACCATCGTCGCGCAGTTGAAGACGCACAACTCGCCGGCAGAGGAACCGGCGATGAGGTAGCCGGCGCCCTGAGGGAGGTACTTGCCGCAGAAGTACTGCCGCGCCAACCCCTGCGACGGCATTTTGAAGCGTTCCTCTGTCAGGGCGTACTGCATGGAGCGCACATCAAACTCGAGCGTAAACCGCAGGATGGCTGGCCCGCGTCCAGCGTAGATGAGGTACTTGCCGTGGCTCGACGTGCGGCGGCCAGACGCAACCACCTATCCAGTAATCGTGTGTGTGCGTCCGCGAAGCTCGGCGAGCGGCTTGGGTTGCACCGGGCTGCACGCCTCGCCAAACTCTAGGAAGGAGAGGGCCTTTGTGTTGGTCGCCGCCTGGAGCAACCCTGTGGGCAAGTCCCACATACAGAGCCGGGCGTCGGCGCGATCGTCGGCGCCGGCAAGGATCTTGCCATCCGGCGAGAAGGCGAGCTGCGTCACGCTGTTCCGCGAGTACGCCGTCGGCCCGTCCTGCAGGTCCAGCAGTCGAAAGACCGGCTGGCGAGTCGCGAAGTCCCACACGATCACCGCCGCCTCCGAGCCGGCGACCCGGGTGTGCGAGGTCTGGCCGGAGGCAATGAGGTGGCCGGACGGCGAGATTGCGAGGCATGTGACCTCCTCGTCGTGCCCGCGGAGGAACTCCTGCGCATGCGGATCGCTCACGGAGCCGATGATGATGAGGCAGCCCGTGTAGCTCACAAAGGTGGTCGGCTCGGTGGGGTGGAACTGGACGGAGGAGTCGTCGTCTTGCCCGGCGGCGAAGCCAATCATGTGCTCCAGCTCCAGTTCCTGCGGCGGCGGCGCGTCGGCGGGCGGCGCGGCCATGCTGGGGGGGGGGAAGCGTAACGGCGAGGGTCAACGACCAGCCATCATCTGGGTTTGCGATGGTGATGAAAGGGCAAGTGAATTTCTTTCCATTGCGCGCCAGTCCCGGCAACCCGAAAGAATTCCTTTTTCCAAGTTTCTACAAGTAGGTTGCGGCGCCGAGCGCTCGCGGCAGCGCCCATGGCGACGCCTGAGGAGTGGTACCGCAGTCTCCCGCCTGTGACGCGTGGGTATATGACCAGCGCCGTCGCTGCCACGCTCACCGTCCAGCTCGGCCTGCTCGATCCGTCGCTCATGCACCTCGACTTTCCGTCGATCTTTGGCTCGCTCGAGCTGTGGAGGCTACTGACAAACTTCACCTTCTTCGGCACCTTCTCGTTCCCCTTCGTGATGAGCCTCTTCTTCCTCATACGCTACACCAAGGAGCTCGAGGCCAAGCGGTTCGAAGGCCGCACCGCTGACTTCCTGTGGGCAATGGCCATCATGGGCGCGGTGCAGGCGGTGGTGGCGTATGTACTCGGCGGCCTGCCCTTCCTCTCGCAGGCCATGCTCTCCGCCATCGTCTACGTCTGGTCGCGCGAGTTCGCCGACACCGTCCTCTCCGTCTTTGGCCTCTTCAACGTCCAGGCGCCTCTCCGCCCGCACCACCGCCCGCCCGGCACCGCCCGCCCAGCGCCGCCCAGCGCCGCCCAGTGTCGACGCCCTGCGCCGCCACGTGCGCCGCCGCGCTCTACCCCCCCCCCCCCCCCCGACGCAGGGCTTCTACTGGCCGTGGGTGCTCGTCGCGCTGCGCGTCCTCATGGGCGGCTCTCCAGTCCTCGACCTGGTCGGCATCCTGTCTGGCCACATCTACTACTTCCTCGAGGACGTGCAGGCGGCGGCCGCACCCCCACCTCCACCACAACGCCTCGCCACCACACTCCCGCCCCGCTCCCGCCCCGCTCCCGCCCCGCTCCCACACCACACCACACCACACGCGCCGCCACACCCCGCCGCCGCCGACTCGCGCCCGCACGCCATAGGGCTACTCCCTCCGCGCGCCCGCCCTGCTCTCCGACTTCTTCGACCGCGGCCGGCCTGGGCCGGCGGCGGCGCAGGCGCAGCGCCGCAATATGTTTGGGAACCACAACTGGGGGGGAGGCGGGCAGCGGCTCGGCGGGTGAGTGGCGAATGCGCGCGCGCGCAGTTAGTCCTCGGGCAGTCCCCAGGCCTTGACTGCTTCGCCGCGGCGCCGGGTGGCGGGAGAGGCCCGGGGGGCGGGAGGGGCTGTGGAGAGCAGGGCGCACGACGCGGCGTGCGCGACAGCGCGAGTTGCCGCGGGCAAATCGTGAAGCGCTAGCCCGCGGGCAATGGCTCATCAACGCTTCGGTAGAGGCCAGCGGTTCACCTTCGCGGCGTGTCTGGGAGTCTGTGACGGCGGCGGGGTGCCGCGGGACAGCTTAAAAAAAATTTTGCACTCAGATTGCGTCCACCTCCCCATGGCCCACCCCATCCTCCTCCTCCAAACGAGGCCCCTGCCTCATCGCCTCGTCCACCCACGCGCTCACCTCCCTCGCGAGCCGCCGGTTGGAGCGGCGCACCTGAGGCGGTGCGGCAAGGGACAGATCTCACACGCAGCGCGGGGCGAGGGAGGGCTCTCCTCTGCATCTCCACGCCCTGAGACAATAGGACCCCCAGACGGCATTCAGAGTGCACGCAGTGAGTGGGATGTGAGTGCGTGCTCCTCCGGCGCACCTCCAGCCTGCGCCGCTCAATCTCGCGGAGCAGAGACCGCGCCTCCCGCAGCGCCGCCGCCTCCCCGCCCGCCGGAAGCGGCGAGGCGACAAGCGCCGCCGCGTGAGTCACCGCCAGCCGAAAGCGACGCCCTCCCAACGCGGCGCGAGAGGAGAGCGCGATCGCGGTTCGCCGCAGCGAGGCGCAGCGCTCTGCGGCATCGCCGGCGTGCGCGGCGATGCAGACGACCCGCTCAGCGCGAGCCTAAGGAGCAGTGGGCTCTGGACTTTGGTCTCGGCAGCCCACAGCAGCTCTCTCGCCTCTGCGACTCTCTGGCGCCATCGCGGCGGCCCAAGCGCCGCTGTGAAGGGAGCAGCGCGCCGCGTTCAAATAGAGCGCGGACTGGAGCGCCTAAATCGACCCAACCAACCACCCGGTCCCAGCCACCGACCACTCGGCTGCCGTCCCGGTGCGCAGAGGACGGGAGCGCCGTCGCACCAGCCATCAGAGGGAGCAGTCGGCGGCTCCGGACCGTCTCTTCCTCGCCCTCCACCTCCCAGCCCCCGCCTGCACCGCCTTCACCCATTCCTCCGCCGACTCCTCCTCCTCCTCCTTCGTTGCCGCCGACTGCTCCTCCTCCGCCACCGACTCCTCCTCCTCCTCCGCCGACTGCTCCTCCGCTCTCCACCCGAGAGAGCGCCGACTCCACACACTGCAGCAGGGAGGCGACGTCCGACGCCACTTGCGAGGAGGCGGACGCCTCGGCGGGTGGCTCCTCCCTCGCCGCGCCGCCGCTCGGCTGGAACGTTGATCGCAGCCAGGACATCCAGCCTACGCCGCCTGCTGCTGCATTGTCGCTGCCGTCGGCCGGCTCGCACACGCTCGCGACCGAAGCTGCCGCCGGCTCGTACTCGACCGCGCACTCGTCGCCGTCGTGCGTGAGCACGAGGGCCGAACGCATCGGCTCACCATCCCCAGGCAGCACGAGGACGCGAGCGCCGGGCTCGATCGGCGCCCCTCGGTGAAGCGCCCGAGAGCCGCTCTGGTACCAAGCGAGCGCGGCGCCGAGGTCCCGCAGCTTGAAGAGGACGTTGCCATTGGCCTTGCAGCGCTCGGCGTAGTCGACCGCGGACTCCTCTCCGCGGCGTGCCGTGCTGCCTTCGAACGGCTCGAGAGGCCTCAGCATGCTTACATCGACAAGCTCCTCCACGCCGCCTTCGCGCTCGACCTCCGCCCGCGCCTCGTGAAGACAGAGCACGAGCACGCGCTCCGAGGCGCCGTCCCTGGTGAGCCGAGCCGTGCAGCCGGGCGTCAGTGCCGTTTCCATCGTGGGAGTAACCTGGCGCGACGCCTCGCTTCGCCAGGTCGTCGCGGCCTGCTTGTGAGGCTAGGCGGTGGGCGCGGGCTGTCTGGATTTGTGTACTCTCGTGAGCTGTGAACAGACGCACTTGCCTTCGGGGGCAAGTCCCAAATCCGCTAGGTTGGGCGTGCTTTCACAGCCTCACGAGAGTAGATTTGTGTCTAAGGTATGTTGTTGGCAAATCAAGACACAGAGCTCACTGTGTCAACACAGACCAGCGCAGAGCGCCAAGGACGTATTTTCTTCTCAATAACAAGGCTGTGAAATTCTGGATGCTGTCCGACGACCTCCCGCTGTGATTCTGTGTGAGCTCTGTGTCTTGATTTGCCAATACCTAAATCCAAAGATTGACTTCGGACAAATAAAAAGAAAATCGGTAGCAGTCGCGGCGCGGCGCCTTCTCCCCAGCAACCATGGCCGCTCTTCTCGCTGACGACCACGACATCTTGTCCAACGTTCTGCGCGTGAGCCTTCCCGGCGTCGGCGTCGCCGGCGGCGACGCGGCCAAGGCCGCCGCCTCGGGCACGCCCCTCGTGCCGCTGCCTGACTTGGCGCAAGAGCTCATCACTGAGGCGGCGGGCGCACCGGACCCCGCTGCGCACTGGGCGGATTTGGCGGCGCGGAAGTCGCTCTTCGACCGCGCTCTCGTCGGCAGGCTGAGCGCCGGCACCAGCGCGCCGATCATCGACTACCTCGTCGCGACGTACAGGAGGAACGGCGCGCTGCGCTCCAAGAAGCCTCGTGTGGACGAGGCGCTCGCGGAGATCCTCGGCTACGTGAGCGAATTGTGCGTCTCGTACACCGCGATCGCGGCGCTCAACCCGACCATGTTCCCGCAGCCGCCGGCGGCGGAGCAAGAGGGAGTGCTGCGGCTGCTCACCGCGCTGCGCAGCGATGACGCGTCCACGGCGCTGCCCGAAAAGTTCTTGTCCAAGCTGGTGGAGCGGATGCAGGAGGACGGCACGCTGGGCGAGTTCGCAGCGCCACTCTTCGACAAGCTCGCCGAGGAGGTGAACTCCTCTCCTCCCCACCGCGCTCTTTCACCCCTTGCTCCCTGAGCCTTCCCGGAGCCGTCCTTGAGCCTTCCCGGAGCCTTCCTAGAGCCATCCCTGAGCCTTCCTCCTCGCCCGACCCTCACCCGTCCCCGACCCGCCCCCCGCCCGTCCCCGCCTCCCCCGCCCCTCCCCAGGCGGCCACTCTCTCCCTCCTCAACCCCTTCGCACCCACGTACCGGGCGCTACTCACTCTCGTGCGCGAGAAGCCGCTCGGCGCAGCCTTCGCCGCGAGCGGCAAGTTCCTGCCGGCGGGCGTGAAGAACGGCGCCGCGCTCGAGCGCTCCTCGCTGCTCGGCCCCTTCCTCGCCCCCTCCTGCTTCTTCCCCGCAAACTCGCGCGTGCTGAGCGAGTGCTTTACCGAGCTGGCGCAGCCGCAGGCACGCGACACGGCTCTCGCCCCGCCCTCCGGAGTCTGGGGGAGGATGTCAGGGAGTCTGGGGGGTACCTCGGGTCACACCTCGGGTCGTCAAGCCGCAGGCGCGCGAGAACTCCTTCTCGTCGCTGCGCCTCGCGCTGCAGATGGTCCAGTCCGCTCTCCTCGCCACCGCCAAGGAGCTGCTCAAGAACAGTGACGCTAAGGCGCCCGCCCGCCTGCGCGCTTGCCCGCCGCCGCCCGCCCGCCGCCGCCTGCCCGCCACCCCGCCTGCAGTCACTCCTCAGTGACGAGGCGAGGGAGGAGTGCCCGTAGGAGCCGCTCCTGCGCCTCCTCGCCGCCTTCTGCACCGCCAACGCTGACCGCGCGAAGCAGATGTTTCCGTTTGACGAGGGGGACCGCGTCGTGCGGCGGCTGCGGCGCGTGTAGCCGAGAGATGGCCGAGAGATGGCCGAGAGATGGCCGAGGTGTGGCTGATATGTGGCGGCCCGACGAGCGCCGCAAAAGCCCGCAACACGTCCGCGACACGTCCGCGACACGCCCCGCCAGGCGGACCCTCGCGCGCCCGGCCCTCCCCCCCTCCCCCACCCCCTACCCCCCACCCACCCCCTCCCCCCTACCTTGCAGACCGGCCGACCCTCGCGAGCCTGCGCCGCCCGAGTCGACTGTCTCCGCCGACGGCACCGTCGTCAACGTGTGCGCCGTGCTGCTGACGCTGTGCGACGGCTTCACCGCGCCGGGCCACCCCGCCGCCGCAAAGATCGACACGACGTACGTTCTCTCGCGGCACCGCATGCCACTCGACCTCGAGGAGAGACCGCCGAGAGACCGCCGAGATGCAGCCGAGATGCAGCCGAGATGCGGCCGAGGTGTGGCCGAGGGGTGGCCGAGGGGTGGCCGAGGGGTGGCCGAGGGGTGGCCGAGATGCGGCCGAGATGCGGCCGAGATGCGGCCGCGTGCCGCTCGGCCTCGAGGAGAGACGGACACGTCTGGGCCGGAGCCCCTTCGAGGAGCCCCTGCGGGCGGTGAGCCGCACTCTCTGCGGGCGCAGGAGACGCGGCTCTGCGCGAGCCCCGCCGACGTGGCGCACTGGCTCGACCCGGCCGACGCGACGGCGAGGACGCGGTACGCGGCGCAGGAGGAGCGGGCGGCGGAGGGGGAGAGCGAGCCGCTCGTCGTGTCGACGGCGTTCGGCACCGTCTCCGAGTACTTCTTCCTCACGATGCGAGCGATGCACGTCGGCTACCTCTCCTCCTGCTCGGCGCTACAGCGGCTGCTCTGCGACCCAACGGCGGCCGAGTGGCTGCAAGACTGACTCGAGATTGAGCCGAGGGTAGGTGCTCGAACGGCTGCGCGAGGACCGGAAGCGCGTCCAGCAGCAGGCGCCTTCACATCTCCCCGCATCTCCCCGTTTCTCCCCGTATCTCCGCCCGTATCTCCGTTAGTCCGTTAGTCCACCCATCGCGCGAGATCACGCGAGATCACGCCCGCAGGTGCCGGTGATGGAGCAGCAGCACCAGATGCTGCAGGCGAGCAACCCGCAGATGGCGGCGATGATGGAGCAGCAGCTCAGCTCGGCGCGCGAGCTAGACACTTCCTAGACACTTCCTAGACAGATGAAGGAGCAGCAGCTCACCTCGACGCGCGCGGCCGTGGACGACGCGAGAGTCCGCCAGAGTTCTGAGAGTCCGCGAGGCTGCCCGAGGTGACCCGCGGCTGCCCGAGGCCAGGCGCGCGCGGTGGTCGACGACCTGAAGCGCGCGCAGCTTTCCTACGAGGCGCAGCTGCTCGACCCGCAGCTGCTTGCGATGGCGACGCGCTACTACCGCCTCGTCGCTCGCTGGCTGGTCGGCGAGGCGCGCCCGCCGGCCGAGGGGCTTCCGCTCGGCGCCTCCGTGCCGCGCCGCTTCGCCGTCCTGCCAATGCACAGGGGACGGAGCAGGCTGCGCCCCTCTCCCGAGGCCAGCTCCGAGACGTGTCCGAGAGAGGGCTCGTGTAGGCACTTTATGGAGGACGTCGCCGCCTTCCTCGAGCATGTCTTCAAGCTCGCGCCGCAGTACGCCTTCCAGCAGACGGGCGTCGACGAGCTGCGCGACTTTGTCACGATGATGGTCAGATGAGCCGAGATTCGCCGAGATTTCGCGAGACGAGTCGACGATGCCCGCGATTCTGTCGCGACGCCGCAACGTCCCTCGCTTCGCCCGCGCTCTCTCCGCGACATGTCCACGACGCGTCCACGCCCCGTCGCACAGGTCACCTTCCTCGCTTCGCCTGCGTACGTGCGCAACCCGCACTTGCGCGCAAAGTTCATCCACTTCTTGCAGCAGCTGGTCCCGCACCCGGACCTGCCCGAGGCAGCTGCCGCGATGGTCTCGGCCAATCTCGGCCAGCCTCGGGGGCGACCTCGCGCCGATCTGATCCTAGGGGAGCCGCGCGCCGAACGAGCGGCTCACGCTCGTCTTTGCGGCGCACCCGCTCGCGCAACGACACCTCGCCCCCGCGCTGATGAACTTCTTCGTCGACATCGAGCCGCTGGACATCTACGTCAAGCCGCAGTACCGCGCCAAAACGATGGCGATCCTGGACTACTTTTGGACGCAGCCCGACTACCGCGCCGCGATCGTCGGCTTCGCGAGCACGACGGCCACCGGCGAGGACACCAACCCGCGCTTCGTGCGCTTCGTCAACATGCTCATCAACGACTCCATCTACTCGATGGACGAGGCGCTCGAGAAGCTCATCGGGATCAAGAAGATGCAGATCGAGATGGAGGCGCCCGCGTGGCAGCAGCAGCCGCAGCGCACGCGGGGGGAGCGCGAGGCGGCGCACCGGCAGAACGAGGGCCACGCGGGCTGGTTCATGAAGTTTTGCAACGACGTGATGCACATGATCAACTACCTCTCCACCGACCCGGACGTGTGCCGCACCTTCCTGCTGCCCGAGCTGTGCCCGCGCATGGCGAGCATGCTCAACCACTTCCTGAAGCAGCTGGTCGGCCCCACGTGCGCCGAGCTCAAGGTGCGGGAGCAGGAGATGTGGGGAGATACGGGGAGATGCGGGGAGATATCCCTCGCGGCCGTGCTCAAGGTGCGGGACCCTGAAAAGTACAACTTCCAGCCGAAGACGCTGCTGCTCAAGATCTGCACCGTCCTCACGCGCTTCGCGCAGCACGCCGAGTTCACCGCCGCCGTCGTCAAAGACACGCGCTCGTACAACCCAGACAACATCCGCAAGGCGACGCCGCGGCCTCGGCAGCGTCCCGTCCCGCACACGTCCACGACACGTCCCTCGCATCTCCCCCCCCCCCAGGCGGTCCGCGTCCTCGCGCGCGGCGCAGCGCCGACGATGGCGCCGCGCGCCGCCCGAGGCGCTCGAGGCCACGGCACGTCCGCGACGCCGTCCGTGACACGTCCCGCAGGCGCCGCAGCAGCTCGAGGCGCTGGAGGCGTTCCTGTCGCGGTGCGAGAGCGCAAAGCAGGAGGAGGTGGACGCGGAGGCGGAGCTGGGCGACATCCCGGACGAGTTCCTCGACCCGATCACGTGCGAGAGGACCCGAGATGGCCCGAGGCGGCCCGAGCTGACACGGGATCACGCGAGGTGGCCCGAGATTAGGTTCGAGATCATGGAGGACCCGGTGACCATGCCAACCTCCGGCACCGTCATCGACCGGCCAACCATCGCGCGCCTCCTCTCTGGCGGCGCGGCTTCTCTATCCCGAGGCCTCTCCGAGCCCTCCCCGAGTGCCCCTGTAGGCGCGCCACCTCCTCACCGACGAGACGGACCCCTTCAACCGCGCCAAGCTCACGCTCGAGATGCTGGTGCCCGCCGACGACCTCAAGGCGCGCATCCTCGCCTTCCGCGCCTCCAAGCGCAAGGCCATCGCCGGGGCGAGCGCCGATGGCGGGCAACCGATGGAGCTCGGCTGACCGTGCGTAGCCGCCAGGCTTCCGACTCGTGCAGTCGCCACGGCCCGCCAACGCAGTCCCGCTCAGCCAGCTGTGCAACGTCTCGCGCACCAGGCGACGCCCGGCTGCGGCTCCCTGGTCGCGTGGTCGGCTTACAGCTGCTGACGTACGGGCTGAAGCTAGGTCCTCTAGGGAGGTAGGAGTGTGAGCACACGGACAAAGGCCGGGCGGCCTGTTTGATTATATAGGGGGTGGTTTCCCCTCCAATAATGGTGTCACTACGATCGCATTCGGTAAATGCGATTGCTCTTGGAGGCGGCACATCATCTCGAGCCCACTCACGGCCCACTCACCACTCTCTCCGTGGGGGCACCAATGGTGCTGCGATGGACACTGCATGACCACGAATGCTCGATGACGAAAGGCGTCATGTTCAACCTGGTCTTCCTTTACGCCGCATCAACCTCTTCTTGGAGGAACGGTTGGGGGTTTGCGGGGCAATCGTTTGCTGGCTTCTATCACGGCGTGGGCGCACTCAACTACATGCTCGACGTGTTCATCCTGGGCCCGTGGCTGGCGAGGCTGCCGCTCATGGCCAAGCAAGCCCTGCTGCTCGAGGATGCGCTGATGGCCAAGCAAGCCAACGAGATCGTGTTCCAAAACATGGGCATCATCGCATCTGCTGCCAGCACGGCTGCTCGATACACGTGGGCCCTCGTCCTAGTGTCGCGCCTGCAGAAGCGGGCCACAGCTATGAGCAACGCAGGCAGTGCCTTCGACTACAACATTGAGTTTGGGCTCGGCTTCGTGGAAATGGTGTGCATGTACGGCATGGCGTTCATTGGCCTCAACGTGGCATTTTGCGTGTACGCTGCAACTCAGCCCGGCTCGGTCCCCTTTGGCCGCCCCTTTGCACGGCAGCCCCTCTGATCTCCATGGGCGAGTCTGTGCTGGGCCTCGCGAGGGGCTCTTGAAGGCCCACACGGTGTTTGCGCACATGATGCTGAGAGGACTTGAGCTCTGAGGACTTGATATGATCCTATGGCGCAGTATACAGGCACAGTGCGGAAAGACCGCGGCCGCCGACTATCGCCCCCCCGCACGAGCGCCGCAGCGAGCGGGGGGACGTACGTCCGCGAGCGGCCGTGAACGCGCGGCTCGTGAGTCATGTGTCTGCGAGTATGGGCGTGAGTCGTTTTGCTTTGACGGGTTGCTCGCGCGCGTGAGAGTGCGCCCGCGGGACTCGCCGGACACCGGGAGCGGGACCGGCGGGACCGAGGCAGCAGCAGGAAGAGGGAGGGCCTGTGTGGGACTTGGACATGCTCTTTTTTAATCTTCTTCAAACGGGTAGTAGTGAAAAACAAGTCTAGGGTGCGCGCGTGCCAGCTCGCCCTGTACACACGGCACGCGCGCTCCGTCCCCAATCTCGGAGCAAAAGCCGCAGCCACACGAGAAACCCTCTCTGGCTCTGCGCCCCGCCGGCACAACGAGCCGCCGAATGAATACCGACTCAGAGGCGCGGCTGCTGCCTGGCGAGCGCCGCCTGCGGCTTTGGTAGCTCAAACCGCATCGGCTTGCCGCCCGGCGCCTCCTCGTCGCACGGCTCAAAGTCGTGGTCGAACAAATGGCGCGCGGCGGCGGCGGCGACGAATGGGTCGTCGCTCTCAGAGGCGCGGCCCATGTGGTGCGCCCCTCCCAGCAGCAGCGCCTCGATCGCAGAGAGCTCGAGCGGGTCGGCGGGCGCGACGACCGGCCGCACTGGTGCCGGCAGCGCGCGCGCCGTGAGCGCCAGCCAATCGACGTCGGCGAGGAAGCGTGCGGGCGTCACCTGCAAGACAGCTCGGGGGAGGCTCGGTCAAGGCTCCCAACGACGTCCGAGAGGCGGAGTGCGGGCGTCGCCTCCAAGAGGTCCCCGTGCGAGCCGAGCCGCTCGTGAGGCTCTCGCTGCAGCAGCGCGGCGCACAGCTCGCGCGCGGGCGTCCCCATGGTGTGCGGGTAGTCGACCTGAGGCGCGGGGGGGGGGCGGGGGGGGCCGTTGGGGGGGGGGAGGAGGGGGGGGGGGGGGGGGGGGGGGTGGGGGGGGGGGGGGGGGGGGGGTGGGGGGGGAGGGGGGGGGGGGGGGGGGGGGGGGGGGGTGGGGGGGGTGGGGGGGGGGGGGGGGGGGGGGGGGTGTGGGGGGGCGGGGGGGGGGGGGGGGGGGGGGGGGGGGGGGGGGCGGGGGGGTGGGGGGGGCGGGGGGGGGGGGGGGGGGGGGGGGGGGGGGGGGGGGGGGGGGGGGGGGTGGAGGGGGGGGGGTGGGGGGGGGGGGGGGGGGGGGGGGGGCGGGGGGGGGGTGGGGGGGGGGGGGGGGGGGGGGGGGGGGGGGGGGAGGGGGGGGGTGGGGGGGGGGGGGGGGGCGGGGGGGGGGGCGGGGGGGGGGGGGCGGGGGGGAGGGGGGGGGGGGTGGGGGGGTGCCCGGGGAGGGGGGAGAGGGGGGGGGGGGGGGACGGGGGATGGATAACCGGACTGGCGGGGGGGAGGAGGGAGGCGTCGCACGCGCCTCGCCGGACAGCACCAGGGTGTACACCTTGATGGGCTCGTCGGCGCAAAAGGGCGGGAAGCCGGTCAGCAGCTCGTACAGGAGCACGCCGAGGGCCCACCTGCCGGCCGGGCGGAGGCGGGCGGAGGCGGGTGGAGGCGGGTGGGGGGCGGTGTTGGTCGCGGGCAGAGGAGGCGAGCGGCACGGAGTGTGTTGCGGGCCGCACCAGTCGACGGCGAAGCTGTGGCCGCGGCACGCGATCACCTCGGGCGCGGTGTACTCCGGCGTGCCGCACAGCGTCCAGGTGCGGTCCGCCGCCGAGGAGAGGTGCGCGGCGAGCCCAAAGTCGACGAGCTTGAGGTAGCCTACGGCCGAATCTCCGGCGCTCGCCGCCGGGCCCTCGGCTGGTGAGTGAGGAGTCGAAGAGCGTGGAGGCGGCCCTCGGTGTCGAGGATGAGGTTCTCCGGCTTGAGGTCGCGGTGGACCCACCCTGCGACCCGCGGGGCAAGGGAGGGGGCGGGGGCGACCGCTTGAGTGGAGGGGCTGCGAGCGGCCGGACCGGGCCGAGGGCGGGGAGGCGCGCCGAGGCTGTGCAAGTGGCCGAGCGCCGACGCGGCCATGGCGGTGTAGAGCGCGGCGGTGGCGGGGTCGAGCCGCGTCGCCTCGCGCAGCAGCAAGAAGAGCTCGACGCCGCGCACCGCCTCCATGAGCAGAAACAGCTGCGACCCGTCCTGGTACGCGCCTGTACGAACGCTCCGAGAAGGCTCAGCCGGGACGTGTGGAGAGAGCGAGCCTCTCGGAGGCGTCTAGCAGGCCGTGCAGCAGCGGCACAAAAGGGTGCGAGCCGCCGCTCTGCTGCAGCGCGCGCCGCTCGTTGAGCACCTGCCGCGCGCGGCCCGCAGCGAGCAGGGGCGCCTTGGGGACGCACTTGAGCGCGTACAGCCGCAGTCTCCCCGCCTCGCCGTCGGCGCCGAGCGAGTCCGCCTCGGGCGGCGAGGCCGACGGCGTCGCCGCCTTTGCGATGAGCGCACTCATCGCCGGCAGCCGGCCGCGCGGCGACGCCGGCGCCGACGCTGGCACGCGCCGCGCCGCCGCCGGCCCCTCAGCGGCGCCGTCGGCTCCGCGCGGCGTCGCGCCGACGTGGCGCGCGAGCAGCACCTTGCCCGTGCTCCCTCCGCCGAGGAATCCCTCGATGCGGAGCTCGTGCAGCGGCGGCGTCCTGCCGGGCGGCGTCGCCGGCCGCTCGGGCCGCCGGACGAGGCGGGTGGCGCCGGGGACGTGCGAGAGGGAGAGGACGGCGCGCGCCCGGCTCCACGGCAGCAGCAGGTAGCGCGACCCCGCCGTGGCGAGCACGGTGCGGGAGGCGGTCGCGGCGGCGAGCGAGCCGCAGCAGTCGCCCTTGACGAGGTCGCGCGAGAGGGTCGTGAGGGCCGACTGCAAAAAGTCCTTTGCGCCCGAGAGCCGCGACCAGCGCGCGCCGCTCGGCCGCGCCGTGCTCGACGTGCCAACCTCGGAGCTCGCCCTGTCCCAGTCCGCCGCCGACTCGGCAGCCTCCGCCTTCGCCCAGGAGGACCCACCACCGGAACCGGAGGAGGACGCGCTGCCCGCCGCCGCCGCCGCCTCCCCGGCCCCGCCCTCGCCGCCGCCGCCGCCGTCGCCGCCGCACGCTCCGCCCTCGCCGCCGCCGCCGCCCGCCCCTCCCTCGCCGCCCGCCCCTCCCTCGCCCCCGGCGGGCTCCTTGCCTCCCTCCCTGCCTCCCTCCCTCACCACGCGGGCCGAGCCTCGCTCCACGTAGAGCACCCCCGGCGTCGGCTCCCCCGCGAGCATCAGCGGCTCTCCGACCTCGACAGCGGGGTCGACCAGCAAGCCAAACAGCGCCTGGGGGGGGGGGGCGGGGAGGCTCAGGAGACGACGGGTCCACTCGGACGCCGGCCAGCGAGCCGAGCAGCGCCGTCCGCGTCGTCGCTGCAAGCTCGTCGCCCCCGCGCAGCGCGTGCGCAAGCATCTTCTCGAGCGCGCGCGCGCGGCTCGACGCGTCCGCCTGTAAGGAAGCTTCCGAGGCGGCTCCAACACGGCTCCGACGCGTCCCAAGCAGCGGCTCGCGCCCGCCTTGCTCCGAAGACGGCGCACGTCCCCCCGGCCCGGAGACTCCTCCCCCTCCCCCTCCTCCCCCTCGCCGCTGCCCTCGCCCGGTGCACAGCCGAGCCGCGCGAGCACAGCGCGTGGGAACAGCAGCACCGTCGCACCGCCCTCGCTGCCGCCGACCAGTACGGCCGCCGCCACCGTGCCCTCCATGGGTGCGCCGCCGCTCACAGGAGGGGAGGCAGCAGCCGGTCCCGGTGCCGCCGCAAGGACGGGGGACGGGCCGCGGCTGCCGCTGCCGCTGCCGCTGCCGCTGTGCGGTCTGTGCACGCGCGCGTCCTCCGACACCCCGCCGACGACGCGGAGGAGCGGGTCTCCGGGGCCGTAGCGGCGGATCGCCCACGGGTCGGCCTTCCCGGCGGCGGGGGCAGCGACCTGGCGG